TCCCTACACCTCATCAGCATTGTGTTGTTGGTCTTTTCATCTTTGTAATCTGATAGGTGACAAATTAATGAGCGTCAACATCTTTTCTTATTCTTAAATTTCTCAATAGTAGGAAATACTCATTAAGCCTCTGGGTGTAGTTAAACAGGTTTAAAGTGATATGCACATTAATGCATTAAAAAACAATCTCACTTCTAAAGAATTTGGATAAGTTCATTTCTGTTAACTCAGTTAACAAGTATATAATGAGGATTTAATTTGGATATGGTCATGTAGCCTAATTGTGGAGAAGTCAGAAGTATGAAGTGGGCTTTAGGAATTTTGCTGTTTAGTTGGAGAGAGAATATTAACATGAGAGAAAAGTAGCAAGCAGTTATATGCTTGTATGATGAAACCCTATAACTTGTGAACCTAAAGCTCAAATGTTGTATTGACCTAATGAATGAAGAAGTTAAATCAAGACTTTCTGGAGTAGGAGGGACACTTGAGGGAGCTTTGAAGGATGAATGTGCCTGCTTTGGATTGATGGAGTGTGGCGGAGAGTGGGCATCAGGAAAGGTGAGAACTGTGAGTAGTCACAGGAGTAGAAATAAAAATGACACAGTTGTAAGACCTGACAGTGAATAGAGCAGGACTTGGGGAGACACTGGAAATGTAGATTTGTTAAGAAAGAATTGAGGCCATTGTTATGGAGGTTCTCATACATAAAGGAGTTTAGACATGGTTCATTCACAGATAAGTTCTGCTTAGCATTTTTCAGCAGAGGAATGGTGATGAAAAAGTGGTGCTGAGGATTACCAGCTCTGCACTTGTGTTCTGATGAGGGCCTGGCAGAGAGGCAGGGTTGCTCCTTCATTTGTACAAAGTAATAATAGGTTTTGAGTAGGATGGTGGTAGTGAAAATAGGAGGCAGCCAATAAGAAAATTAAAAAACAAAACAAAACAGGACTTAATGACTAACTGGATACAGGGGATGAAGACGGAGAACTGAGATAAAAGAAATGAATGATTTCTGTGACTGAACGATTGGTAACAATTCTCCTTTTTTCATAATTCTGAATTAAAGCCACTGTTTTACAAGAAGTGTGAAACCTCAGTACTCTGACCTCCCCAGATGATCTTTGCAGCTGTTGTATAGGGAGAAAAGTATTTTAGTATTAAACATCACTGATGATTATTAATATAGTGATTGTTTCTGTATAGATAAAATTCTTCCAGGTGATTCAAGTTTTCTATATTCTGTTTAAATCTCATAAAATTAGAAAAATTTTGCTGTGTGTATAGGAGGATTATCATTTTAGAATGTTCTCATAAAGCAGTGTTTAATGATAACTGTAAACAATTGATTATTGGAATATAGATGCATATTCAGTCAAGTGTTCATTGAAAGCATTCATTGTTTTAATGAGTACTAGAACATCATTGAATCTGTTAAAGTTCTTTGAGAAGAAAATACACTTCAGTTCTTAATAATACACTTCTGAAGGATGACTTCATTAGATAATCTTTTTTAACTAGCTAATCATCTGTATGCCGATAACTATTTTGTGTCTTAATAAGTCTCCCAACCTAGAAGTTTTAAAATTTAAAATTTTATCTTATATGAATGCTCTGTGTAATTGAATATAAAGTATTGAAAACAAAACACAACAACAAAAGAAACAAAACAAACAAGAACAAAAGAGACCTGAATCTTGGATAGAATTCTCCTGGGGGGTGTTTTTGACTTCCTCAGACTTTTCATTAGATGATACCGTAGTCAAGGATGAAATGTAATTTTGAAGGTTGTGTTATATGTGTATATATATGTGTATATATATATATATATCTTTTTTTTTTTTTTTTTTTTTTTTTTTGTGTTTTGGGTGCCTTGCGTGGTG